TAGAAGTTTCTTGCACGAATATAGATACTTTTAATACTCCCTATGGTCCATATATTAAGTGAATGATTAGATATGATACGTCAGAAAATATTCACCACAAAAATTACAAGGTATTTTTACTATTTTCTTCGTTCCACTTTATATGATCTAGTTTGATTTGGCAAGGAGTTTAAGAAATAACGAAAGATTTTTGAAACAAGAATAAATATGAAAAAAGATTTCAACAATTCTCTTAAACTTTAAAAAGTTCACTTATTTTGAACTATGAAAAAGTGTCAACACCTAATTAAAAAATTCAAATTATGAAAAAAGTCTAAAAGGATTGGAAATATTTAATTAAATTGGTCAAGCTGTCATCTTTGAAATTGATAGGCACTTTGGACTTAAATATATCTTCTTAACGAAAACCAAAGAGTTGACTTGCCAACCATATATACGCTTCTCTTTATTTCAAGAATTGCTCATAACATTCACAATCTTCATCTCTAAACACTACTACTATTACAACTATGTCTGATCAAAACAGTGAAACTATGCCAATTGATCCTAATGTTGATCCCTATGGCTGTTTAGGCATGGTTCGTAATTCTGATGGTTCCATCACACGTCTACAGGAACCTCTTGTCCCGGTAGACACATCCAATGATCTTTCCCATCTAGTCTTCACCAAAGATATTTCCATTAACTCATCAAAGAACACATGGGCACGTATTATCCTCCCTCGTGAACTTCTCCATTCCACCACCAATACTCCTAAACTTCCTCTCGTGATCTATTTTCACGGGGGAGGATTCATAGTGGCAACTGTAGATACCCCCGTCTTCCAAGGGCTGTACGCTTCCATTGCTAGTGAAATTCCAGCAGTTGTTGTGTCAATTGAGTATCGTCAAGCCCCCGAGCATCGACTTCCAGCAGCATACGACGATTGCATGGAAGCATTACATTGGATCAAGACCAAACCCGACGAGTTGTTATCCAACCATGCTGATTTCTCCAAATGCTTTCTAATGGGCACGAGTGCCGGAGGCAACGTGGTGTATCACGTGGGCCTACGCGCCGCGGAGAGTTGGGACAACCTCAAGCCTTTGGAAATCAAGGGATTGATATTGAATCAACCTTTCTTTGGTGGGATTGAGAGGACACAATCAGAAGTAAGATTGGTTAATGACAACATGTTACCCCCTATTATAAGTGATATCATGTGGGACCTAGGATTGCCTGAAGGTGCTGATCGCGATCATGAGTATTCAAATCCAATGGTGGGGATTGAATCAAACCCAAACCTATTTGATCAAGTAAAATTATTAGGGTGGAAGATGTTGGTGACTGGATGTGATGGCGATCCTTTAATTGACCGCCAAGTTGACTTAGTAAGGGTGTTGAAAGAATTGGGCGTTCAAGTAGAGGGTAGTTTCACTCAAGGAGCATATCATGGGTCCGAGGTTGTTGATCCTTTGAAAGCTAAAGAATTTTCCTTGCTTGTAAAGGAACTTATAAGCCACGTTTAAGGGGAATTGCTTTGTATAATTGTAATAGTATTAGTATGGCCCCTCCCCAAAAATGTGATAGCGGATAAACTTATTAGTCACTTATGATAGCCGATAAGCAAATCTGTAACTACTATGTAATGATGCATATTAATTATTAATATAATATCTTAATTACCAAAAAATAAAATTCATATCACTTCACTATTATTCTTGAATAATACGATAAAGTTAAAATGTTTGGCTGATTGTGTTGCGATAGTATACGATTTTGTATGTTTCTACATTTTATTCGAACTAATTAATTTCATACGTAAATAAAGTTAGTTAAGTGAATGGACACGTACGAAGGTGCAAGAAGATGAATTTAAGTTTGAAACACTATAGTGTTTTTGGCCAAACAAAAAAATGGTCAAACATTATAGGAAACATTATCTTTGAAAGCAAGGTTATTTCACTAGAAGCCCTCAATATTTATATTATCTATTTTCCCACTTTTTTTTCTGAAATTCAATGTATTATATGAAAACTGAACATTATTTTAATAAATTATGGCTCAAATTTTTACTGTAGATTACACATTATTTCCATTATCCTCCAGAATCTAAATTATTTCTAAACTAATTAATTTTATTTTTTTTGAAATATTGAAATTCATGTTAAGTTTATTAGAAAATTGGAAAATTAAGTGTCCATTTAGTAACACTGTTGGTAGAATAGATTCCAACAAAATGTGAATTTTATAATAATAGTAGCTCATAAGGTAAAATTTCAATAGATCAGAATTTTAGGTGTTTAACAATTAAAATGCTAATGTAAGTTGGGGTTAGATGAGTAATAAAAATCTAACATGAATGTTAGGAGGTTCTGAAAGTTGAGGGGATTCTTCTGCAAATGTAAGACACAAATAAATAGTTTGCAATTTCCATAGTCCAATAAAAAAATCACATTTAAAATAGTCAAATTGCTAAAAACAAGTGTATCTCTTTTAGGGGTCGTTTGGTAGGGAGTATTAGGAAAAATAGTTTATGTATTATGTATGGTATTATTTAATACTATGTTTGGTAGAAATTTTGAGCTTATGTAAACTAATTCATAGATTAGTTATACATTCTACATGGTATAATAGGATGTATAACTATTACCTTTCATTTGGTGGTATTAGTAATACATAGGATTTAATACCATGAGATTAATTTGTGTAAAGACAAAAATATTCCTCATATCCTTTTAATTTTTTTATTTTCTTGATTTTATATTTTATATTTTTACTAGTAAATTTAATTAAATATATTAGCTTACAGATTTTATTATTTAGAGAAAGTTGTTTGTTGCTAAATTATTCATACAATTCAATACAGTATTTGAAATATGAGTTGTTTAACATTTACTAATTGAAAAGTCAAATATACCAGCACATTACGTTTGTGATCTTAGTTGATTGTATTATTTGTTGATATATATGTGGGTTTTTAATCATTTATATTTTGAAAAAATTATAAATTGCATGATGGTTTATTCAATTTTACTATTGTTTACTATCTTTTTAATTTTAAAAGTAGACGGTCTATCTTTTTTAGATTGAAAATTAACGTTTTGTGAGTGATCAATTTATTAGACGACAACTATTTACCATCAAATAATTCAAGTGAGAAGCAAACATGGTAACAAAATTACTTTTTTCCTAGCTATTTAGAAGGTCATAAGAAATAATATTGTCCGGCAATTATCTACCTTGACCTATCTACATGAAATAGAAAATCTCACCATAATTCAAGGGTATAATTGAGAAGAAGCTTTTTATAGAATTTTAATCCAAACACAAAATGTGGTGGGAAATAATGAACCAAACACTTGGAAAAAAAATATAACTCTCCATTACTAATTTGCAGGGGCGGATCTACCCCGTTCGTTGAAAGATTATATATATTCAAATTTTAGTTTATGTGTATATATATAATATTGAACCCCCTGAACATATACCAAAGGCGTAGCTCAGTGGCGGAGGGTGTTCAGATTTGTGCTTTAAGTGTGCGCGTTCGAGTCTGTTGATAGTATTTTTATCAGCTTAGTTTTAGGCGTTTTAATTTTTCTTTTAATGAAGGAACCAGAAAATGTGGGAATTAATTTTAGGCATTTTAAATTATTTTAAAAAAAATAATGGAATCAGAAAACATGGAAATTTGGGATTTATTAGTTTAATATCTAATTACAAAGTCAAATATTAAAAAAAATCTTTCTTCTTTTAGGATCTTTCCACTTTTTTTTCATCGGTCTCTTTCTTCTGTTGCTGATGGCCTGCTGTTGTTGCTGCCACTTGCAGGCTTGCAGCTGCTGTTGTGAAGGAAGACAATCATCTCTTCCATCTCCATTAATAGCTACCTCGATAAGTTCTTGGTTTTTTTTTTTTTTACTAGATTTCTATATACTTTAATTTATTTCGTTATTTCTTTATGTGCTTTCTCTTATTTGGCTAATTTATTTGAGCATTTATACCTCTTCACTTTTTTTATTTTTTCATAGGAAAGTTTTGACTTTGTTCAGCCATATGATTGAAGTTTCAATTATTTTATTTGACTAATTTTATATATATTTCTTAATCTAAAATTGGAGAGATAGATAAATCTAATCAAATAACCACTGCTTAAACTTATTTGGTAATAGTTTTATTGTGTGTTTATATTCTCTTAAATTCTATCTAAGTTCTTACTTTAGGTTTCAGTCTTAATATTCAATGAAGAAGTATTTTATCCAAGTATCGAAATCAAATTTAGCCTCTTATAATCATAGTCAATCTAACCAAGAAGGAAATGTCAATCGTTCAGAAGTATCATCAAATTCTTCTCAAGAATTTGATTTGAGTTCTTTAAAGTTTGATCCCAATGAAAGAACCCTAGTATTGAATTATCATCCAAATCACCGTGATATTATTAGAAGAGAATACCTTGTGAATGGGTCTTGTAAACCTCGCTTGGAGATGCATGAGTATCCTCAAACAAATATTTCTTGATAAATGCACATGTTTAATCATGAATGGTTTGATGGTGCATATCATGATTGGTTGGAGTATAATGTTAGTAAAGATGCAGTCTATTGTTTGTATTGATATATATATTTAAAGACCATAACATTAATCAAGGTGGAGGTGAAGTGTTTCCATGTACATGATTTAAGAGTTGGAATAAAAATAGTGGTCTTGACAAGCATATTGGTCTACCGAATAGCTCACATAATTGGTCAAAAAAGAAATGTCAAGATTTACTATGACAACGACAGTCTATTCAATCTGCATTTGAGAGACGATCTAATCAAATTAAGCATGATTATTATATTCATTTAAGTGTTTTTGTTGATGTAGTAAGACTTTTCATAACTCAAGGATTCACATTTCGATTATGACGAATCTAAATCATCACTTAGCAAGAATAATTTTCTTCAGATTCTCTCATGATATGCAAAAGGTGTGATAAAATTTGTGACTATGTACTTGAACATGCCCCTCAAAATGATCAAATGACTTCTCTAATGATTCAAAAAGATATCGTGAATGCATGTAAGATAGAAACAATTAAAGTTATTCTTGAGGAACTAAATGGTGATCATTTTACTTTACTAGTTGATGAATCTTTTGACGTTTCACGCAAGGAGCAAATGGCTATTGTATTACAGTTTATTGATAGAATGAGATTTGTGATGGAGCGACTTATTAACATTATTCATGTTCAAGATACCAGTGCATTATCCCTAAAGGTGGTAATTGTTAATTTACTAGCTCAACATTCTTTGAGTCTGTCAAGTGTGCGTGGACAATATTACGATAAGGTAAACAATATGCAAGGTGAGGTCCATGGCCTTAAGATGTTGATTAGGCAAAAAATTAGACCGGCTCATTCCATCCATTATTTTGCTCATCAACTTCAACTAACTCTTGCTGGAATCTCAAAAAAGTGTTTTGAAGTGGGAAAACATGTGGTATTGGTCTCAAATATTTTTAATGTATTGAGATCTTCTTTTAAGCGTATGGATGATTTACGAGATTCTCAAAAAGCAATAATTCAAGAGGCATTAGAGATGGGTGAACTTACAATCGCTAGGGGCTTGAATCAACAACTTGATCTTTCAAGAGCTTGTGATACTCGTTGGAGATCTCATTGTAAATCCTTTAACAATTTAATTCTTATGTTTGGCTCTATTCTTGACGTTCTTGAATTACTTGCTCTTGATGCACGAAGTATAGATGAAAGAGTAAAGGCAACGGGACATCTTGAATCTTATCGAACATTTGAGATTGTGTTCATGTTGCATTTGATGAGAGATGTATTAAAAATCACAAATGTGCTCAATAAATGCTTACAAAAAAATGAGCAAGATGTTGCAAACGCCATGCTACTTGTTGAAGTAGCAAAGAGAAGGTTGCAAGTTTCAAGGGATGATGAATGAAATTCTCTTATTGCTAAGGTATCTATATTTTGTACCAAACATGAAATTTTGATACCTAATTTTGAGGAGCTATATGTTAGCTCACTACTAAAAAAACTGATAAAATAGACCTAAAAATCGAGACCTCAAAAGTAGATCGCTTAAAAAGAGACCTCATGAGGTCACTATTTGCATCTATAATTTTTTTAAAAAAAATAAGAGACCTCATGAGGTCGATTATATATATATATATATATATATATATATTTAGATATACATACATACATCGCTTATTTAAAAATTTATTTTGGCTACTACTTTGCCTAAACCATGCAACCTCAAGGTCGCTATTTGTGAAAATAAAAAATAAATTTTAGAAACTTTCTGAGGTCTCCTTTTTTTAGTCTAATTTGGTTAATAATATTTTAAAATAAGAGACCTCATAAGCTCTCTTATTTTAAAATATTATTGCCCAAATTTGACGTCTCTTATTTTAAAATATTACTGAACAAATTTGACTAAAAAAGGAAAAAAAATTAAAATAAGAGGCACGTCTCTTTCCCACATTTTATATCACCTAAAAATCCCTAACTCGTCTCTTTCTCCCTTTTCTTCACAGACGATTGTATAGCTTCAAAGACGGAATTGCATCTCCGTTGAGCCTCTGGCAACTCACTTACTCAATTTGAAGCTCTAGTTCCTGTCGTCGATTTGTGGAAACTCTATCTGTCAATTTTCGAACAGGTAATTTTGTAGCTTTTAATTTTTTTAATTTGAAAAGTTGTGAGCATATGTAGCTAGTTAAGGTGTAATGCTTGTTGATATTCAATCAAACCTTTAGAATTAGCATTAATAATTGAATGTGAGATAAGAAATATGTCAATGAGATTTTTCTTATTTTTGAAAAAGATGTCATATGTTGTTGTTTATTAAACATGACCAAATCAATTTCATGTATGGTTTTGCCTCTTTTCCTCTTTATGTTAATGCTTTTTTTTAGTATATGATTCCTCTCTTTGGAATAGAAAAATAATATTAGTGACCAAATTGAATTAAAAGATGAATTTTAAGGAAAATCATAGGATATGCGTAATTATCTATTTTGCCAACTCAAGCAATCTAAAGGATTAACTAATATTCCACGAAAATAAAAATGTGAACAATTAACAATGAAAGAGGAAATTAAACTTTGTGAATGGGTTGATAACCTGCATGGTAGAGAAAAATATACCTAAAATGTTGTCCAGAGGTCGATATACTTTTTCATCGATGATGTCTTGATTTGTACTCGTATGATGTGATTCAAAGCAGAAAATAGAGTTGTATTTTTTTGGTTTGGCAGAGCATGGTGGATCACGTTGTGTGTATAAAGTTTGTTAAATCTCAAAACTTTGTTATATTGTTGTTTTTGTTTGTGCTGGTAAGATACAAATTACCTTATATGTCCATTACCATAGGAATGAAGATAACATATCTCTAGTGTTCAGAGGCGGATCCAAGATTTGAATTTTATGGGTTCACAACGACCTCAAGTTAATCTGTAGTTATAATTGAGTTCATAGTAAAAAAATGTAGTTATTAAGTAGATTCTTTAACATGTAACCAGACCTCTAGATCCGTCCTTGTCAGCTGTCAAAGTCAGTACACAATGAATTACTAAGTTATGAAAACCACTAAAGGAACCAAATAATCATAATATGCATTACTCACCGAGTAAAATGGGGTAGCAGATACAATACTCATTGGCGTTGGTGCATTGGTTGGAGAGAGAGCATATAGCGCAGTCTAAAACAGTTGTGTAGATCCCGTTTCAACTACAATGTGATAGTTTCTAGTCTGAGCATTACCAACTAGATTGTGCAGTCTAGTTACTGCATTTGCAAAGTCTGGCTCTAGAAACCAGCAATGGTTCTTAGTATCCGAAAAATAACTAATGGATTGTCAACCTCATAAAACAAGTATTGTTTTGTCTCCCATTTGCTTCCAGTAGACCTTGTACATGGTCGGATCACCACTGCAGAGATTGTAACAAGACATTAAATCTTCTTCGTACTGTAATCATATTAATTACTAAAAAATAACTTCCTTTCATAAATGGACCATATATTGCTTTTTCACTTATGAATATAGTATCCACCTTATATTGTCCGCAGCGTCAAACAATATAAACCAAAATTTTCATTTCAGCAATCACATTTACATAAAGTTTTCAACAATGCAACACAATGTACCATTAATTAAAAGTGGTACAATCTAGACAATAGTCCATGCTGCAACATCATTTAATGTTGCAACATCATTTAATCTGCCTCACCTAACCATCTAATCTGTATTAAATGATGTTGCAGCATGGACTATTGTCTAGATTGTACCACTTTTAATTAATGGTACATTGTGTTACATTGTCGAAAACTTTATGTAAATGTGATTGCTGAAATGAAAATTTTGGTTTATGTTGTTTGATGTTGCGGACAATATAAGGTGGATATTGTATTCATAAGTGAAAAAGAAATCTTTGGTCCATTTAAGAAAGGAAGTTGTTTTTTAGTAATTAATATGATTAAAGTACAAAAATGTCTTATTACAATCTCTCCAGTGGTGATTCGACTATGTACGAGGTGTACTGCAAGCAAATGGGAGACAAAACAACACTTGTTTTATCAGGTTGGCGATCCATTAGTTATTTTTCGGATACTAAGAAACATTGTTGGTTTCTCAAGCCAGGCTTTGTAAATGCAGTAGCTAGACTGCACAATCTAGTTGGTAATGCTTAGACTAGAAACTATCACATTGTAGTTGGAACGGGATCTACACAACTGTTTCAGGCTACGTTATATTCTCTCTCTCCAACCAATGCACCAGAGCCAACGAGTATTGTATCTGCTACCCCATTTTACTCGGTGAGTAATGCAAATTATGATTATTTGGTTCCTTTAGTGGTTTTCATGACTTAGTAATTCATTGCATACTGACTTTGACAGCTGACAAGGACGGATCTAGAGGTCTGGTTACATGTTAAGGAATCTACTTAATAACTATAATTTCTTACTATGAACTCAATTATAACTATAGATTAACTTGAGGTCGTTGTGAACTCAATTGAAATTCAAATCTTGGATCCACCTCTGAACACTAGAGGTATGTTATCTTCATTCCTATGGTAATGAACATATAAGGTAATTTGTATCTTACCAGCACAAACAAAAGCAACAATATAACAAAGTTTTGAGTTTTAACAAACTTTATACACACAACGTGATCCACCATGCTCTGCCAAACCAAAAAATACAACTCTATTTTCTGTTTTGAATCACATCATACGAGTACAAATCAAGACATCATCGATGAAAAAGTATCTCGACCTCCGAACAACATTTTAGGTATATTTTTTTCTACCATGCAGGTTATCAACCCATTCACAAAGCTTAATTTCCTCTTTCATTGTCAATTGTTCACATTTTTATTTTCCTAGAATATTAGTTAATCCTTTAGATTGCTTCAGTTGGCAAAATAGATAATTACGCATATCCTATGATTTTCCTTAAAATTCATCTTTTAATTCAATTTGGTCACTAATATTATATGTCTATTCCAAAGAGAGGAATAATATACTAAAAAAAAGCATTAACATAAAGAGGAAAAGAGGCAGAACCATACATGAAATTGATTTGGTCATGTTTAATTTACAACAACATATGACGTCTGCATCTTTTTCAAAAACAAGAAAAATCTCATTGACATATTTCTTATCTCACATTCAATTATTAATGGTAATTCTAAAGGTTTGCTTGAATATCAGCAAGCATTACACCTTAACTAGCTACATATGCTCACAACTTTTCAAATTAAAAAATTAAAAGCTACAAAATTACCTGTTCAAAATTGGCAGATAGAGTTTCCACAAATCGATGGCATGAACTAAGGCTTCAAATTGAGTAAGTGAGTTACCAGAGGCTCAACGAAGATGCAATTCCATCTCTGAAGCTATACAATCATCTGTGAAGAAAAGGGAGAAAGAGACGAGTTAGGGCTTTTTAGGTGATATAAAACGTGGGAAAGAGACGCGCCTCTTATTTTAATTTTTTTTCCTTTTTTAGTCAAATTTAGTCAGTAATATTTTAAAATAAGAGACATCAAATTTGGTCAATAATATTTTAAAATAATAGACCTTATGAGTGTCTCTTATTTTAAATATTATTGACCAAATTTGACTAAAAAAAGGAGACCTCTGAAAGTTTCTAAAATTTATTTTTTATTTTTTATTGTCACAAATAGTGACCTTGTGAGGTCGCATGGTTTAGGCAAAGTAGCTGCCAAAATAAAATTTAAAATAAGCTATCTATACTAATTTATATATATACTCATGAGGTCTCATATTTAAAAATTAAAATAAAACAAAATTATAGATGCAAATAGTGACCTCATGAGGTCTCTTTTTAGTGACCTACTTTTGAGGTCTCAATTTTTAGGTATCTTTTATCAGTTTTTTTAGTTGTGTCACCTAAGACACATAATTTCCGGAGTGTACTCATCATCTTTTTCAAAAACTTGCTCTTCTTCATTTCATGTTCCGTCATCTTTTTCTTCCTCCTCCCCATTTTTGCCATCATGTTCTTGAGAATCTGGTTATCCTGCACTAGAGTGGAAAGGGTAGAAGTAGCACTACCTGAGGCCGATGAGCTTTTTCCTGGTCCTGTAGGAAGACTCCTAGTCAACTCCTGAATCTGCAAGTGAATCAAAGTATCCATAAATTGCATATGTCCTGATAAGTGAACTAATGTCGGTGGTCCCTTCAATAGCAAGGTGGTCCCTTCAATAGCAACTCAGCTAGAGGAGGGATAGAGTCTAAACTATGTGAATCGGTACCCTCAATGAATGTGCCAAACACTGGATCTTGCACATCAAACTTTCTCTTCTTAGTCACATGCCTTGGACCCTTCTTTTTCAGTGGATAGATACTTCCTTCGGGACTCCTCATGTTATCTCTCTCATGTGTCACAAACCACTCTTGTCCTACTTCT